TCTTTTCCAACCTTAATGATTCTACAATTTTGTGATTCTAACTCCTCTCGTCGTCACCTCTGCTTTGAGGGGGGATACCCCGAATTACTCACCGACCACCACGTCCACCGGTAACTGGGCCAACAGGTTCCCGATGGGCGTCAAGTCTTCAGCCTCGTCCAGGGCTCCCTGGTCCCTCAGGTACCGCACGGCCGTCTCCAGGCTGGACGAGGGAGGCGGCTCCAGGAAGGGGAAGGTCCGGGGGTCGCCTAGCCCCATGCTCTTTAACTGAGAGACAAGCACACGTAGAACCAGCCCACCAACGACGGGAAAAACCCGGAGGTTTACCAAACCCCCCAAGGGCCATCAAACCCCGACACTCGAGCTGCAGCCCGTTCTCACGCTTGGCTGGGTGGGTTTCCCAACCGAGCTCTCCCCAAATCTCCCCCAACGTGAGCAAAGGGATCCCCAACTTCACCTGAAGCACCAGAGCATCAAGCGCTACCCGCTGGATCTCCGGCACGGGGTAGGGGGAAAAGGCGTCGTAGTCGGATTCGGCGTAAAGCCGGTAGCAGACGCCGGGGCCGGTCCTGCCAGCACGTCCCTTCCGCTGCTCGGCGCTCGCCCGGCTGATCCAGAACTCCTGCAGCCGCTGAAGTTTGCCCTGAGGGTCGTAGCTCATCTCCTTCACCTTCCCTGGAGAGAAGGAGAAGCTCAGGGCAAGGCAGGAGGGAGGGAGGGAGAAGCTTTCCCACCCAGCAGAGAGGGATACCAGGAGGATTTTTACCAGAATCCAGGACGAAGCGCACGCCGTCGATCGTCACCGAGGTCTCCGCGATGTTGGTGGAGAGGATGCACTTACGGACGCCGGGAGGGGGCACGTCAAACACCTGAAGAAGGAGAAACATCAGCACGGCCATCCCCAAAGCAAAAAAAAAAAAGGTAAATACAGGTTGCACCCCATCGTTGCACCCCAAAAGCACCCACAACCAGGGCGCAGCCGGGCTGAGCTCTGGGATTCTTCGCTCTGCGATGCCAGGGTGCCGAATCCCACCCCGATTCTCAGGGTCAGACCCTCACCCACCTTGTCCTGCTCCGCGACAGAGAGGGTGCTGTGCAGGGGGAGCACAATCCAGCGCTGGGTGCGCACGGCGTAAGCCTGC